ATTATCTAATTGGCGGGCATATGAAATTTTCTCCTATAATCCTTTAAATTTCTCTCTAGCTAAAGGTTTGTTACTTTTGCTGATCTTTTCAAGGAACTGACTTTTTGTTTCATTGATTCTCTATCTTTCTCTATCTTTTTTTTTTTTCTTTCTGCTGTAATCTTTGTTATTTCCTTCCTTTGCTGGCTTTCGGTTTAGTTTGCTTTTCCTTAAGGTATAAAAAATTAGGTTATTGATTTGTGATCTTCTTTTTTAATATAGGCATTTATAGCTATACATTTCTTCCTGAGTACTGCTTTCACAGCCCCTAATACATTTTAATGTGTTGTGCTTTTGTTTTCATTCATCTGTAAGTATTTTCTAATTTTCTTAGTAACTTCTTCCCCAGTTTTTTTTTGTTCCTGATTTTAGCCTCATTCCCTTATAGTTGGGGAAGATCCTTTGTATGATTTCAATCTTAAAATTTATTAAGGATTGTTTTACAGCCTAACAGCTGATCAATCCTAGAGAATGTTCCATGTGCACTTCAGAAAAACATGTATGTTCTGTTGTTGTTGGTTGGAGTGTTGTTTATATATCATTAGATCTAGTTGGTTTGTAGTGTTGTTCAAGTCTTCTGTTTCCTTATATGTGTGGATGTTCTTTTATTGCAGTGAAAGCTTCAATTATTGTGGAACTCTCTATTTCTCCCTTCAATTCTGTCAGTGCTTCTTTTTTTTTTTTTTTTTTTTTTTTGTTTTGAATGGATCTGCTGTCACCCAGGCTGGAGTGCAGTGGCGCGATCTAGGCTTTGCCTCCCGGGTTCACGCCGTTCTCCTGCCTCAGCGTCCCAAGTAGCTGGGACTACAGGTGCCTGCCATCAAGCCCACCTAATTTTTCTATTTTTAGTAGAGACAGGGTTTCACTGTGTTAGCCAGGATGGTCTCGGTCTCCTGACCTTGTGATCCACCCGCCTCAGCCTCCCAAAGTGCTGGGATTACAGGCGTGAGCCACTGTGCCCGGTTACTTTTCATATATTAATATTTTGGGGGCTCTATTCTTTGGAGTATATGTATTTGTAATTATTATTTTTTTGATGAATTGACCCTTGTGTCAAAACATAGTGTCCTTATCTCTTGTAATAAACTTTGACTCAAAATCCATTTTATCTATTATTAGTATACCCACCTAGCTCTCTTTTGGTTACTATTTGAATGGAATGTCTTTTTTATTGTTTCGTTTTCAACCTATTTGTGTCTTTGGGTTTAAAGTGAGTCTCATTTAAGTAGCAAAAAGTTAGACCGTATTTTTTTAAAATCCATTCTGCCAGTCTCTGTTTTTCAATTTGTGAGTTTAATCCATTTATATTGAAAGTGATTACTGATAAGGAAAGACTTCTGCCATTTCGCTATTTATTTTTTTTGTATTAAATCTCTTTGTTTTTTGTTTCTCAATTTCTCCACTATTGCCTTCCTTTACGTTTGAATTTCTCCACTATTCTTTTACGTTTGAATTTCTCACTATTGCCTTCTTTTTTTTTCTCATGTACCATTTTGATTCCCTTATTTTTCTCTTCTGTATGCCTAAATTTATATAATCTAGTTTGAATTGATATCAATTCATTTTTACTAGTGTACATTAACTCTGCTCCTAGTTAGCTCTGTTCCACCACCCCTTTTGTTGCCCATTTACATAGATAGACTTAAAATTCTTGTTTTATGCATATGTCTTTTAATCCATTTAGGAAACAGAAAGAGGAATTATAAACAAAATATACAGTGATACTTGCTTTTATATTTACTTGTGTAGTGACCTTTACCAGTAATCTTTAATTCTTGTATGGCTTCAGGTTACCATCTAGTGTCCTGTCGTTTCAGCCTGAAAAACTCCTTTTAACATTTCTTGTAAGGAAAATCTACTAGTAATGAATTTCATTCACTTTTGTTTATCTGAGAATGTCTTAATTTTCCCTGCATTTGGAAGGATAGTGCAGCTAGATAGAGAATTCATCTGTCATTCCATATTGCATATGTTGGTACACTTGATGATGTCCCATAGGTCTCTTATGCTCTGTTTGTTAATCTTTTTTCTTTTTACTTTCTCCTCCTCAGACTGGGAAATTTCAATTGTGCCATCTTCAGGTTTGCTGGCTCTTCTGACTCTCAAACCTGCTGTTGAACCTCATTATGGAATTTTTCATTTCAGCTATTGTACTTTTCAGTTCCAGAATTTCGCTTTTATTCTGTTTTGAAATTTCTATCTCTTTATTGATATTCCCCATTCTTTCATACAAACCTTGCCCTAATTTCCTTTGTTCTTTATCTATTTAAAACTGTTAAAGTCTTGGTATAATAAGCCTGTTTTAGTTTTTTCATGGATGGTTTCTGTCAATTTCTTTTTTTTTCTGTGAATTTCTGTCATTTTCTGTAAAATTTTGTCAGTTTATTTGTTTTTCTTTTCCTTTTTCTTTGTATACTTTGCAACTTTTGTTAAGAACTGGACATTTTGAATATTATAATGCAGTAATTCTGAAAGTCATATAATTCTCCTTCTCCAGAGGTTGCTGTTCTTACTTGTTGAGTGCTGTAATTATCCATTTGTTTAGTGACTTTTCCAAACTATTTTGGCAAAGACTATATTCTTTGTTGTATGTGATCACTGAGGTCTCTGTTCTGTTATGTCTGTCAGCCAGTGATTTCCTTAAATGCCTGCATCCGACAAGGATAAAAAAGTTTCTGTCTCTAATTTCTTTTGAGAGACACTGCTTGGGAAGCCCTTCAGCCCTAAGGGTTTGAAACAATAGCCAGCCTTTGCTCCAATGTCTCAGTGAATTTCCAGGCAAATCAAAACACCTCCTACAAACTGTGGAGGACGATGTTCACTTCCTGGTACAAGCAGGCCACTCAAGGAATATGAGCCACAGTCTTCATGGCTGCCTGCCATAGGGATGGGGCTGACAGTTCTTGCCAGCTTAGTAGTTGATTTAGTGGAGGGACTGATTTTAGAGTGTCTTACTCCACCATCTTCTGTTACTCTGGTATTGATTCTTATTGAGGTAATAATCTCAATATAACAATGTTGTATTAACATGTACTATAAAAAGAACTTGTTTAAGAGAAGAGTGAATGCTGATACGCATATCGCTGTATTAGTATGTGTATGCATAGATTTAATTCTTATAGGTTATTTACCATTGTATCTATTCACCTCACAAATTAATATAATTGACCAAAAAGACTGAATTTTGCATGTATATGTAGTGGTGCCACTACATATCATTACATCGTAACTTCTGGCTGTGCAGAGAAAATGTTCTTTATTATATCTGTAGTTGGTTTAGTCTTTTTCCTACTACTTATTTATTTATTTATTTTTAAATTAATTTGTTGTTTTTGAGACAGAGTCTTGCTCTGTCACCCAGGCTGGAATGCAATAGCTCCATCTCAGCTCAGTGCAACCTCCGCCTCCCAGGTTCAAGTGATTCTCCTGCCTTAACCTCCCGAGTAGCTGGGATTATAGGCATCCACCACCACATCCTGCTAATTTTTGCATTTTTAGTAGAGACGGGGTTTTGTCACGTTGGCCAGGCTGGTTTCGAACTCCTGACCTGAGGTGATCCGCCCACCTTGGCCTCCCAAGGTGCTGGGATTACAGGCATAAGCCACTGGGCCCGGCCTACTTATTTATAGAAGACCTCTTGATTAGCTGGAGTGGCGCAGGTGGCAGATATCCAATATAATTTAAAACTCGGTCCAGTGTCTTTAGGAAGTATCCAGCTCTCTCTGAGATAAAAGTGCTCACTTTCTCACTCTGCTTTTAACCCTGGGATGGCTTAAGAGTGTGGGGTGAGATGCATGACCTATGATCCCCTGGCAGTGGGACACTGACTTTTTCCATCTGTTTGATGTTCACTATTTCCTCTGTTCTCCGGAATAATACCTTTCAACCTCCTACTTGTGTTTGCCTTGCTGGCATATGCTGATGATGCTACGGCTAGTATAATTCATGGTCAGGCCTTTCTGTTTGGTCAGAACCTCATGATACTTCCCAGCTACTTGAGTCTTTGGCGCCTGCTCTCTGACTTCTCCTGGGTGTCTGCCTTGTCTCTCTACAGCTGCTGGCCTGGAACTTCATGCGCAGCCTTTGGTGCAGTATCACTCTGTTCCACAGCAAGCCTCACGGACACCACTAGCTCAGAAAATCTGCCTCAGAGCTTATAATTACTTGAGCATATTTGGAAAAACTCCCTTGAGACAATGGCTTGGCTTACAAGACCATGGACTGTATAATCCTCTTCATGTCAGATACTGCATATTTTTTCATTTGATCTCTTTGTAGTCCCTTCACTAATAAAACCAAATAGTTCCCCAGCCAGATGAATGCTTCCAGCCGTCAAGGGCAAAGGTCAGATGCTTGGAAAGGCAAAACAACAAGAACGAAAATAATAATTTCCAAACACTATCATGATTACACACGTGTGGCATGATATTTAAAGAGTTATATGTAATTCTAAATTTGTAGAAGCCTCAAGTTTAAGGAATATAGAATCTTTAGACAGGTATATATGGTGTTCATTTATATGTATTTATGGTTAAGATACATATGTATGTTAAGATATTCTCTCTCTCTCTTATTTTTTTTAAGATAGAGTTTCTCTCTGTCACCCAGGCTGGAGTCCAGTGGTGTGATCTTGACTCACTGCAACCTCCACCTCCCAGGTTCAAGTGATTCTCCTGCCTCAGCCTCCTGAGTAGCTGGGATTACAGGCACACACCACAACTACCAGCTAATTTTTTTATTTTCAGTAGAAACAAGGTTTCACCATGTTGGCCAGGCTGGTCTCGAACTCCTGACCTCAAGTGATCCTCCTGCCTCAGCCTCTCAAAGTGCTGGGACAGGCGTGAGCCACCGCGCCTGGCCTCTCTCTATATATAATGTTAAGAGGTTTATTTTCTATGTATCAGCATTTTCCCATGGCTAAGAATAATGTGATTTCATGCACATATTTTCTTCTGTTGTAGGACAGTTCGTGTTTGGTTAAAGAGAGACAGTGGACAGTATTGGCCAAGCATATACCATGCAATGCCTTGTAAGTATCCAAATCTCTGTCTTGAAAAACCAGACGTATATCCTAACTCTCCTTCCTTCCCAGATTGCCTTCTCTGTGTTTTCTTCTTAAGTGGAGAAGACTGAGGTTGGGATTCTCATTATAATGAAAAGTACCATATTAAATCATTTTAGATTTTCTAAGGCTTTCACTATGTAAAGTAAGAAAATTGTTCTGAAATTGACTCTATATTCATAGCTTCTGAATAAGATTAATGGAAGAAGGACTACAGCACATAGGCTTTCTGATTACAGCAGTCTCCCTCTCTTTTCCAACTTTTTGTTCAGCTATTTTATGAAGTATGTCCTTAGGCAATTCAGAATTTTGTCCAGTGATTACATTTGTGAAGTAAATTTGTCCTTGCCTTATTGTTATATCATTTATTCAAATTCAAGACATTCAGCATTGAGCATTCAGTTCTCAAAAGGATTTGCTTAGGATTGAAACATTCTAATTAGAAGTTGATTTCATTTCCCCAAGATCATATCTGAGAATTATGTCCTTGCACTGATAAATAATGAATCTTCCAAGTACACTTTTAAAAGAAAAGATATGTGTGATTCTTAGATTATTCCACTGGCAGAAGTTCCCCCACAGCTGAAGAAGAGCTGGCCCCCCAAAATAGGAATTTTTTTTTCAATCTAGTCTTTTGTCTTTAAAATTAATGAAGTTTGGGCATCCTATCCCATGTTTATTTTAGTGTAAAATAATTATTTAAATTTAATATTACTTGTATTAAACATTTCCCTTACTTCCCTCCCTTCAAACCTTAATTAAAATTGACATTGTAGAAAAATCCCCCAGGTTTGTTGTTTGGACTCCTATACCTTCTGGCTTGCTGCAGTGTACACCTCATCTCTTGATATAAGTATCCCAGTTTCAGAAGCACATGCTGAAATAAATTCATGCTAAATTGTAGATTTGCTTAAAATTCTGCTTCTGGCAAAAGGATACTGTAATAACTCAAACAATAATTTTGCTTGTTATAAACAAATGACTATTAATGATATAATAATTTTAAATGATTTTCAAATTATCTTTGAGGCTTTGCATGTCTTTAGAATTTTGTAGTAAATAGATGATAACAACCAAGCTGAACAAAGTATTCAACCCTTTTGTGGGAAGAAAAAACTTCTTGTAATTCTGAATACTATATCCTTCCTTTACCTGTTTTGCTTCTAGAAGATATTGTTGTACATTACGGGATCAAGCTGAACTTTCTTTTTAAGCCATGGCAGTGATGAGGGTTTAGATAAATGGAAAAGTAGAGAATTCTGTAGGATTTTTTTCTTGTTTGTTTGTTTGTTTGTTTGTTTTTGAGATGCAGTCTCCCTCTGTTGCCTAGGCTGGAGTGCAGTAGTGAGATCTTGGCTCACTGCAAACTCCGCCTCCCGGTTCAAATGATTCTCCTCCCTCAGCCTCCCAGGTAGCTGAGACTACTGGCACATGCCACCACACCCAGCTAATTTTTGTATTTTTAGTAGAGATGGGGTTTCACCATGTTGGCCAGGCTGGTCTTGAACTCCTAACCTCAGGTAATCTACCCGCCTCGGCCTCCCAAAGTGCTGGGATTACAGGCGTGAGCCATCGCTCCTAGGCTTTTTCCCTCTTTTATAAATGATATAACCAGTCTTTTTTCTAGTCTTGCTTCTTCATCAAACCTGCCACAGTAGCTAACTGTAAGAGATAAGGGAGGGCTGTAATCCAGCAAGTTGAAGTTGGCCTCAGAGATCAATAGCTCGCATGACTCTGCAAGTAGGAAAGGCTGACCTGGACACAATGATGGGGATTTGGGGATGGCAAGCAAGGAATCTTCTTGAGATAAGCATTAATAGGAGCTTCATGAAGGCACAGGATCCTAAGCAATTGCTAACTCATTCTCTTCCCCCTATACAAATATATACACATTTTGGTGTCGTCCTGTAATGCTCTCTTTATTTGGATATCAGTGAGATACAGAGAAGCTTTTAGTTGCGTTTTCATCATTTATTAAGCTATATGCAAGAATGACTAAAGTTCACTATAGCTCTTACACCTGGCATAGGTGCTCAGTAAATACTTATTGAAGGATTTGGTCTGATAATAAAGATGTGTTTCCCTGAGAGGATTATCATCCAGTTTCCTTATAACTGAACATGAACTTTGAGAAAGAGGACCTTGTGATTATTTGTATACTTTGCCTTTGGCGTTCTACTAAATGAGTTAAGAAGGGATTACTTTGCTATTCAAAGTATGGTCTGTGGGCCAGTAGCATCAGCATCACCTGAGAACTTATTAGAAATGCAGTCTTGGGTTCTATCCCAGAGCTACTCAATCAAAATCTGCATTTAACAAAATCCCTAGATAGGCTGGGCGGGTTAGATCATGTCTGTAATCCCAGTGTTTTGGGAGGCCAAGGCAGGAGGATTTTTTGAGGCCAGGAGTTCAAGACCAGCTGGACAATATAGCAAGATGCCACCTCTCTCTCTCCCTGTCTCCAAAAAAAACCAAACAAACCCAAACCCTAGATAATTTGAATATACTTTAAGGTTTGAAAACATTGTCTTGTGACATTATAGCAAACATGTTGATGATCTATGTACATGTTTATATGAACACATGTAAAGCCACACATATATAGTGTTGATTGGTAAATATATGGATGTAAGCATACATGCTAGTCAATCAAATATTTACTGTGCATCTACTGTATACAGGCCACAAATCTAGATGCCAGGGATTTGCAGACAAACAAGATGTATATGGTCAAGATGATTTCAGTAATCTTTTGAATGGATTGAAAAGATTACTGCTGTGTAGAGGTGAAAAAGAAACTTATCTTCATCACAATTGGTTAGAAATTGGCTTTGGTGTTTCTAGGAATCTTATGCATTCAGATGACATAGTAATTGACCTGGGCAAAAATTTAAGATTTGTTTAACTTGAGAGAGGCAGAATCTTATTGCATAAGGAAATAAGCTACATTTCAATCAGTTAGAGAACATGAAATAGATTTGAGTTTCCAAGGAATTGTTTTGTAGTCCTTCCTATTGAAAGCTGTTTTGTTAAGAGGTTACTCAGTATTATTTGTAAATAATGGTTATGTGATACTGGTTTCAGAATAGGTGAAAATGCACAATATATTCAGAGGCTATAAAATAAATATCACAAAGCAAATATTACCATATTTTGTGTTTATTCTACTACATAATAAGTAGCATTCCAAGTATACAAGAATTTATTCTTGTGCATGTATTAAAATGACTTGTTAATTTTGTCCATTAAAATACCTTTTTTTTTTTTTCCTGAGACGGAGTCTCTCTCTGTCGCCAGGCTGGAGTGCAGTGGTGCATTCCTGGCTCACTGCAACCTCTGACACCCTGGTTCAAGTGATT